TTACGCTTTGGGGTACCCATCTCTTATCCTCAACTCCTCTCATACCACTAAATGAAATTTGATGAAACTTTCACAGAATCTTTATTACATACTGCCATTGTGCATCTCCTATTTTACTTTTTGATCTGACATATATTTCGGGTTTCCCACAACAAAACATGGACACTCCCATTATATTCATATGGGAGGCGGGGGTATCATTTAGTGAGCTCATTGCTCACAGTACCTCTGGTTGATTTTACGAAGACTCAAGATAAGATGAATCCGGCGAAATCATAAAAACGCAGAGTTCAGAAATATATTCGTTTTCGAAGACTCAAGAGAAGTAACATCCAGTGTCATCAACATAAAACAAAAGGATCAGGGGCCACAACGCTCACCTCAGCATTTGGTTAGCGAAAATCAAAAATCAGTTATAGACAGAAAGAGTTTTAATATAAACTAGAAGTGACCCAACCCTACTCTCGAGGATGATGATTTAAACAAACTTTGTACACAGTTTACTATATTTATTATCACTAATATTCCCAAAAACTACAAAAGAACTCGTTTTTGCAGCAAATAAGAGTGACAAGATGAAGTTATCAAAGAAGCCCAATGTCACTAAAATAGCAAAGTTCTTATTCAAAGTAAACTGTTAATTTACCTTTTCCCACTGTAATGCAAATATCTGAGAGGAAGCAAAAATATATGTATAACTACAGATTGTTATACCTTTAAAAATTTGTTAATATATAAAACTTAACAAAAAAAGTCTAAAATTTTCAATGTTTTGCTGAGCGGGCATAAAAATATCGGTGTTGGACCGCTCGGAGAGAGGTTGGACCTCTTACGTCACAGAATTGACTAAGTTTTTGGAACTTGTGTCCAATCCCTTTGACATATTGTCAATAAAATATGTTCAAAACAATTGGCGGAGCTTAATCTCATTTTCATTCATTGGTGTTAATCAGTGACAGACCTTATGTTACATCACGGAATACAGTACAAAATACATGTATGTAAAAAAAAAATAAAATGAAAGGTATAACAAAACATGTATTGACAGAGTTCTCGGGCAAAAAGCGTTTTGTCGGACCCTCGAACAAAACTGTCTGCCTTCGGCCTAACGGCCTCATGCAGAGAGTTTGATTCTTGGGTCCGACAAAACGCATGTTGCCCTCGAACTCAGTCAATAAATGTATAATGTTGACCAATGAATTTCAACAAGCAAATTCAAAGAAATGTGGGCCCCTAGCTGCCTTTTGTATTAGCGGCTCGGATGCGATGATTTATGGCATACATAAATTGTAACTGTCTTGTTTGTGTGTCCTGTTACGTTTTTCTATCATACAAAAAAGATATGTTTTTGAATAAATAAAAGTTAAATTTTTGTATGAATCTTTTTTTTCAAAACTCCAATAATCTTCAAAATCTAGACTAGAAGGTAAAATATCATAATACAATTTCTTATGTGTTGTCACAAGCAATGCAGCAAGATTATATGAAAGAATAAAAAAAATCCAGTTGTACCAAGGATGGGGTAATTGAACAAGAGACCCATCGGCCTTATAGGTCACCTGAGCATCATGCAACAACTTTCCAACGATTGAATTTGGTTCATGTTTTAAACTAGACATCATGGCATTCATAATACCAAGGAGCAGAGAAGAAAACTTTCAGAGAATTAATGTATTTTCACTATATTAATAGAGCCCCCCCCCAACACAAGAACCCCTGACCATGCGGCCATAAAATTTAAAATTTTGGAAGAGGCATTCCTCCCCATCATAACTGTATACTTAGTTAGTTTGTTTAATACCCCGGAGCAGAGAAGAAGATTTTCAAAGAATTCATGCATTTTCACTACATAATCAATAGAGCCCCACCCTAAGACCATAACCCCTGATCCTGGGGCCATAAAATTCACAATTTTGGAAGAGGCATTCTTCCCCATTATAACTATGTACTTACTCGGTTTATTTAATACCCAGGAGCAAAGAAGAAGATTTTCAAAGAAATAATGTATTTTCACTATATAATCAATAGAGCCCCGCCCTAACACCAGAACACCTGACCCTGGGGCCATCAAATTCACAATTTTGGAAGAGGCATTCTTCCTCATTATAACTATGTACTTAGTTAGTTTATTTGATACCTAGGAGCAGAGAAGAAGATTTTTGAAGAAATAATGCATTTTCACTATATAATCATAGAGCCCCGCCCTAGCACTAGAACCCCTGACCCTGGGGCCATGAATTTCACAATTTTTTGGTAGAGGACTCAATGGTCATTACAACCATGCAAACAGTTTGAGTGCTTGATGTAGTAAAGATGGAGTAAAGAAGAAGATTTTTAAAGATTGCATTAATTTTAGCGGTTTTGGCCCCACCCCTCAGGGCCCAGGGGGAAAGGGACCATGAAATTCATAATTTTTGTTCCCTTTCACTCATAGATGCTTTATGCCAAAATTGGTTGAATTGGTTAAGTGGTTGCAGAGAAGAAGCTGAAAATGTTCAAATGTTAACGCACAACGTACGACGCACGACGACGGACAAAAACGGATAGCAATAGGTCACCTGCGTTTACTAAAACACACACACACACACACACACACACACACACCCTCACACACACACACACACACACACACGCCCTCACACACACAGCACTATGATTCTAAATAAAGATCTAATTGGGTTTATTATACTTCTGTTAGAATGTTTCCTAGATAAAGTTCAGAAGGTAAAATAGCTATCTTTTATAGTTCAGGCATAGCAAAGCTATACCCCGAGGTATAGTTTTTATTATACCTCTGTGAATTTGTTCAATATAAAAACATGACGAATAAACATGCTATCTTTTCCAAACAGCCCCTACTGTGAAATAGTTTTTGTGCTATCTGCCCATGGTGAAATAGTCATCAAACTATTCACCGGCAGCATTCTGTTTCCCTCGCTTTTCATCTCGGAAAACTTCTGGTTTTATACGGATTGTGACGCGTATGTATTATGACGTAACAAAAAGTTAAGTCAGCATCAGTATAATATGTAATATCATAATTGTGTGTACCCTGGACTCCAAAAAGTTAACAAAAGTTAGGTCAGCATCGGTATAATAAAACACCTATTTACTGACTATTCGGACAATAGCAAGTTTATCGTCCCCCTCGACAGCAAACTATTTCCCTCGGCTGCGCCTCGGGAAATAGTTTGCTGTCTTGGGGAACGATAAACTTGCTATTGTCCTCATAGCCAGTAAATAGGTGTATACTATCCATCCTCGGAAAATTTTCATGCAATTTTTGCCTCCAATTTTGATTTCTGGCGATAAATGTATTGACTGATGATGTCAGAATGATTTCAGTAGCATTGTGACGTCATCAGAATTTCAGATTATTCTTGCAGTATTATCTTACTCCCAAAAAATTCAAACCATAGAAATTATATTATACATCAGTATAATAAAACGCTTATCCACTGGTTGTGAGAGGGATGACTCTTTTATCAAACCCTTGACAGGGACTATTCCCCTCGGGCAAGCCCTCGGGGAATAGTTCCCTGTCGCGAGTTTGGTAAAAGAGCTATCCCACTCACAACCAGTGGATAAGTGTATACTATGCATGTAATTATTATTATATAAATTACATGAATACATGATAGGTATGACCTAAGGATAGCCTATAAAACATTTTTAAAAAGTTTATTTCCAATGGGATCATCAAATAAAAATATGGAATTTAGGCAGGGTAATTTCATGAATATAGCACAAGACTTTGAAAAATGACATTTTCCCATAATAAAATGTTTACCTTAAAATTATCACAATAATGCTTATTAAACTAAATAAATTAAATAGACAATAAAATTAGATAAGTCATCCAAGTATATATATCATTAGCATTTGTAGATGAAAAAGATCTTTCAGCTTTCTGCTTAAGATTTTTGTTTAGCATTCACCTTGATTTCAAGTGGCAATGCATTCCGGTTTTTAATAGCATTATAGAAAAAACATGAAGACTCCCTATTATCTTAGGAATAAGAAAATTCTAATTTTTAGCAGTTCTTGTAATAATCCTTGTATTATCCTGACAGTATAAAATTATCATGGAGATAAGAGATAAGCTGATGCATTCTTATGATACACATGTATAAATTAAAAACACGGTTTAAATCTTAATTGTTTAACTCTAGCCTCCACTCTTAACATATTTAGAGGGTATAAAATATTGTTAGAAATACTCTCTCTTGTTTATTCTACAATACCAAGTAGAACAGGCATATTCAAAGTAACATTGTATCAAGGCAGAACATAGGGTCTTTCTAGACTGTGTACTAAGACAGGATGCGTTTCTATATAAAAAATAAAGTCTGGCATTAACTTTTTGTATAATGCTTTATACAATATTTTCACACGGAAGAAACTTGTCGATACAGATTCCTAAATATCTACACTTTTAGAACCTTTCAGAACCTTGCTAGAGTTTGGTCTTGTTAGATAAGTGAAAATACTTTTGAATAGGAAACATTACTTGGTTTGGATAGAACTTGCTGCTAAATGGAATATACATAAAATTAACATGAATGCATTGAGGGTAAAACAGTATTGCCAGTAAATTTTTTTACTGCAAAAGATCAACAGCATTAAAAAATTCTTTTGAAAAATTCTCTTCAAGGTAGTACTTTTGTATGTATGTATATATATATATATATATGCACTTGGCATACAAGTATGTAAAAAAAAATTGTAAATATATTAATTTATCATCACTTTTTCTGTCAGAAAAAGCATTATTATTCATTGTTAAACATGTGTTCATCATTAAACTTGTATAAAACATCGTTTGAAATCAAAATTGTACAAGCAGTCTGTCAGCATTCTTTTGGTACTCTCTAGCAGTATAATTGAAATAATATATGAAAATGAATTTCATCTATTAGCAGATGTTATATCCTAAAACAAGGATTGTATTTTGGAGTAATGACAAATTTGCATGACAGTAACTACTAGTATCCTTTAAATATCACACATGATGTTTGACACGAAAGATTTTGTGAAACTGTTCCAAGCAAAGAATGGTTAGGTTTTTGTTGGGCGTTTTGTGTCTTATTTTCCCTTTACAGGTAGATTCCTCCGGAATAAAACCACACCCCTTTGTGAAAGGTAGGTTTTATCTGAAACATACATGTACCTGAAATATATGTTATAACTTTTTGTTAATCGTCATTAATTTTGTACGTAAAGTTTTCTTTTTTCCTTGACTAGTTTTATATATTTATAAGCTGTAAAAATTTTTTTTTTAATTCTTACATGATGAATTCTTTCTTTGATAATTTACCTGTTGAGAAAATGAAATGTAAAAAAATAAATCATTAAGAATTGAACACTTTCACTTATTTCACAACTTAATTTTTATTTTCAAGTAAATTTCTTTAGATGAAGTTGATACTTTCCTGAAGCATGTCCCTTGGGAGCATACTGAAATGTCGGCATCCCTTGATGGCCCCATGATTCTTACACTGAAATCTAAATACAAACTGGACGGAGGAATTGTCTTCTCGAAAAAGTGTAAGTTTGTTTAGCGTGTATAAATCAGAATACATGATAAAGCTATTTATATATTTACACTTTTCAAAATAATCTTTGGTTTGCAGTTTTAACCAAATACAAAGATTGTGCTGACATTTTAAAAAAGAAACCAAATCGGAGAAATAGAGATGGTGTGTACACAATTTACCCTAAAAAAGGAATGAAAAAGAAAGTATTCTGTGACATGACAACAGACGACGGGGGGTAGACGGTACGTATAGTGAATCAACATTGTATCAGCCAAAATATTCTTATTTTTTCTACCAGTCTTGTAGAGTAGGATCCCCCCCCTAAAATCTCTCCCTCCCCCCCAGAAAACTGGGATTTCCCCTATGGAGATCCTACACCAGAGTCAATTTTCCGGGGGGAAATCCTACTCTTTGTAGTAGTTATAGCGTGCGATTTCCCCCAGAGCCAATTTTCCTCCAATGAAACATAGTTGCTCTACTTATTTTTGGGAAGGAATGGTTGGCACATTGCTACATGTACAAGTGTCCCAGTTCTTCAAAATGGTGCTCAGATGTATTGAACATACGTACACGAAAAATGAACATGAAAATTTTTAAAATCGATTTTTTCTTGGCTACCGTCAGACCATTTTTTTTAAATCAAATAAATTGATGAAACTGGAGAGGACTATACGTTTCCTCTGCGTCTGTCCGTCCGTCGATTTGTCAAGCTGTCCTTCTGTCTGTCTGTGTGCCCAAATGGTTTTCCGGACTTGAAGACATTGAGCTGACTTTTGGTATAGTAGTATACTAGTATCTTGATGAGTTAACGTTCAAGTTTGCATTTTGTTTCGCTTCAATGTTTTAAAGGAATTACGATCTTTTCAATTTTTAACAGTTTTCCGCAATATTTTTTCTGAACAATTGGAGATGTTGAGCTATAATTTTGGTAGGTGAATTTCAAGTTTGCATTTTTAGAATGCTTGTTACTCATGAATTCTGCAATGTGAATATAACATGTCAAATATGAAAATCCATAAGGATTGACAAATTAAAAAATCTGGAAGAGGCATCCTTTCTCATCATAACTATGTACTAGTTCGCTGTTTTAATACCCAGTAGCAGAGGAGGAGCTTTTAAAAGAAATAATGCATTTTTACTATATTATCTATATAGCCCCGCCCTAGCACTAGAGCCTCTGACCCAGGGGCCATGAAATTCACAAATTTGGTAGAGGACTCTGATTATCATCATGCAAACAGTTTGACTGCTTCCAGGAGTAAAGAAGAGGCTTTTAAATATGGATTTAATTCTATTGATTTTGGCTCCACCCCTGATGCCCAAGGGGGACAGGGACCATGAAATTCACAATTTTTGTTCCCCTTCATCCATGCTTTATGACAAAATTGGTTGACATTGGTTGAGTGGTTGCAGAGGAGATGAAAATGTTCAAATGTTAACGCACCACGTACAACGCACGACGACGGACGAAAACAGATAGCAAAAGGTCACCTGAGTTTACTACAAAAAACCTTAAAAATTACAAATTGAGTCCTATATAAATTAGTAAAATGAACAATTTAAACCCCAAAATGTTTAAATTTTTCATTAAAAATTTCACAAAAATGGGATTTAAGGAGATTTACAAAAAGCTGTACAGATTAATAAGTATGGTTACGGAAAGGTGGAAATTTGAACATCATAGTAAGTTTACAATTTCTTAATATTTTGGAAAGTTTATTATTGTAATCATTTACAAACAAATAGGTCCAAAAATATATACTTTTCAGACATTTATTTTTTGTTTTTTTTCGTCAAATTTTAAGAATATTTACATTTCTTTTGAAATGCTATATATTTTGGCTGAGATTCCATGATTTGAAATATATGCTTAGAAAATTCTTACAACATAAGTCGAAAAAAAACCCCACTCAGTTTGTCAGTTATTATTATTTTTTTTTTTACAAAAATATTGCGGCTGTGGTTTATATTGACTCTATAACGAGGGGGAAAATCCTACTCTGAGAAAGAAAGAGGGGGAAATTTGGCTCTGGTGTGAGATTTCCCTTTGGGGGGAAATCCTACTCTAGAGCACGATTTCCGGGGGGGAAAGCTGGCTATGGGGGAAATCCTACTCTACAACACCGGTATGGCACTGTGTGTTGGGAGGAGGGTTCGGTGAGAGCTGTTTTGGTGGATGTCAATTTGTTGTTTAATTTTTGGACTTCAATTAGCGAGCATTGAAGACAACTATATTTCAAGAACTGGAACAAGAGGCCCACGGGCCTTATAGGTCACCTGAGTAACATGTAACAACTATCCAACAACTGAATTTGGTTTGACTATTTTAAACCAAATGCCTTGAAATTCACAATTTTGAAAGAGGCACCATTGTTTATCATAACTATACATTTAGCATGCTTAATTTGGTTATTTAATACCCAAAAGGAGATCAGAGTAACAGAGAGAAAATGCATTACCACTTTATAACCACAGTTGTACACACCAACCAAAAGGAACCACTGACCCTGGGGCCACATATTTTAAAATTTTAGAAATTTTATAAATTTCATTTCATCAGAAATGGGTGATTAATATCAAAGAACGGATTTCAAGGTATTACTTTATTTTCAGACTATGTAACCCCCCCCCCGCAGTACCCCTAACGCAGGGGCCCTGATATTAACCATTTTGGAAGAGGCATCTTTCTTCATCCTATATATATACTTAGATCATTGGCATTATACCAAGGAGCAAAGGAAAATATTTCCAAAGAATTCATGCGTTTTCACAATATAATCATTATAGAGCCCCACCCTAACACCAGAACCCCTGACCCAGGGGTCATGAAATTCACAAATTGGGAAGAAGCATCCTTCCTCATCATAACTATGTACATAATTCAGTGGTTTTATAGCCAGGAGCATAAGAGACGATTTTTAAAAAAATTATGCATTTTCACTATATAATCAATAGAGCCCCGCCCTAACACCAGAACCCCTGACCCTGGGGCCATGAAATTCACAATTTTGGAAGAGGCAATCTTATTCAACATAACTATGTACTTAGTTAGCTTATTTAATGCCCAGGAGCAGAGAAGAAGATTTTCAAAGTAATAATGCATTTTCACTATATAACCTGTTTAGCCCCGCCCTAGCACTAGAACCCCTGACCCTGGGGCCATAAATTTCACAATTTTGGTAGAGGACTCAATGCTGAGTACAATCATACCAACAGTTTGACTGCTTGATGTCCCGGAGTAAAGAAGAAGATTTTTAAAGTTTGCACTAATTTTAGTGGTTTTTGCCCCACCCCCATTCCCCTTTACCCATAAATGCTATATGCCAAATTTTGTTGAAATTGGTTCAGTGGTTTCAGAGAAGAAGCTAAAAATCTTCTAATGTTAACGCACAACGCACGGCGAACGACGACGGACGAAAACAGATAGCAATAGGTCACCTGAGTTTACTCAGGTGACTTAAAAAGACTAATTTAGAGTTTATTTAGAAATCTCAGAATACTAGTAATGGAACATATTTTTTTTAAAGTGTAAAACTCCTTCGTAAGTTGTTGGTTTGATGTTTCATATTTTGAAGCACGAATAAAATCATATAGATTGGGTAAATAAGAGAAATCTCTTTTAATTCTGATGCACTTTGGGAGAATTTTATTGCACCTTTATGAACAAGTTCTGAATAATTTTATGATAGGAAGGTTTATAAACTGTAAATGAAGTTTAAAAGATAAAAATTGACTTGAACATATTTTATTGCAATATAAGTACAAAGGGATTGGGCACAAGTTCTGAAAAAACTCATAATGCCCTCTCACTACATATAAATTACACATTTATATTGTCACAGTTAAACATGCTTTATAAAATATTCAGCATTTGCAAAAGTAAACAAATCGATGAATTTTGCAGATATGTATAAATACATATAATGTTGTACAAATTCATTTATTAGTACAGTAATTAACAAGAAAATGTACCAGAATGCTTGATAAATGTTTGAACAAAAGAAAAGAGACGTTCATTCTTTGTAGCATTCAGTGACCCCCCCCCCCCCCAAAAAAAAAAAAAAAAAAAGAAAAGACATATATATCTAGAATATGGATTTTATCAAATTGTGAAAAAAAAAAAATATGTAAAAATTCATTTCTGGCTTTCACATACTTTGGACGTACAAAAAATGTGTCCTCAACTTTACCACATGAGCACAGAGTACTTGATATTAAATTGCATCTTTAATACACGATTATGTCGTAGTCTGGTTTGAAGAACATTAAGTCTTCTGTTACCGTAATCAAAGTCAGAAGGTGGAGCAGATCTAGGTTTTTTATTACTAATTTTAGATTTGAATTTTGACATTGACTATAAATTTCGAGTTTCGGGTGGAATTGAGTTCCATTCGTTAACTACAGTAGGAATAAACGTAGACTTATAAGTTTGTAATCTACATTTTGGAATATCATAATTTTGAGAATTTCTTGTCGAATAGATAGGTGTGTTACAGCGCATATCTGGAAGTTTGTCTATTAAGAATTCTGGTACTTTTGTAAGTATAAGTAATCCTATATGTTTTAAGTTTAAATAAGAGACCTTTATGCCAAAAACGATCAAATGCTTTTGAGAGATAACAAAAATAATAAAACATCAAAATTTTCCATCATCAATAGCTTTTACAATATCGTCATATGATTCTATCAGCTGGTATACTGTTGAATGTCTAGGTTAAAAATCAAAGTACTCAGAAGTACAGAGAGCCGGGCTTATTTACAGAGTAGAATGGATTTCTTACATGCATCACGTATATATTCTGATGAAAAAATTATTTTAAAACTATCAATATAAATGATAAGACACTGACAGTGAGTTTTTCAATCCTAATACCACGGTCCGATTTTGTCAGAATCAGAATTAATCTGGTACCGCAGCTGAATGTAAACAAACAGGCCAGTCTGGTTCCCTCTCCTACTTTACCTCATCAATGACACTGGGGCCAAAAACTTCAGATGGTTGTAAAATTTTTCAAAATCAATAATTCTCTTTGAAATTGTTTGTGTAAAAATTTCTTACCACTCTTCTTTTAAAAATTTTAAAATAATTTTCGATATTAAGTTAAATAAAAAGTTATATGAAGATTTAAATTTGGTCTTAAGTCGTAAGTCCTTTTGTAAAACAGGCCCCAAGTCTTTAGTTAGACATCACAGAAGGATTTTTTTTTGAAATTTTTGGTTTTAAAAGCAACCTTCAGTATTTTCCAGTATAAAGCAAAAGCCACTTTGGGCCTTATTTGGCCCTGAGAATTTCTGAAAATCAAAACCGCTCTGTTTAGGTTGCAAATGCAGTATTTATCACTTGGAGTGTTGGTGACAACGTATCTATTAATCATGACGTTATTTTCCCTTTAGTCAATGTATCATGACGTCATAAAATGTGTCATTTTCCTCATATCCTGTAAATTTCTTTGAGAATGGCCTAAAGTTAAGGTATTTTTTCAATATTTCATATTGGGCACAACATATCATCCAAAATATGCAAATACATAATGAAAGATCTGTTTCTGAAGATCAAAAACATATTTTATTTTTTGGATCGTGGACAGTGCTCATATTTAAATTCTTTGCTGAAGGTAGTTAAATACGCATGTTTTTGCAAATTTCATGAACATTGCAATTTCTCAAAGCCTGTTTTCCAATATTTTGATTCTCAAAAAGAAATTTTATTATAGGAAATGAAAGCACCAAGTGTCTACTTTATTCTAATATATGAAATGGGACAGAGGATATGGTAGCTTATTAATTGATATAAGTACAGGACCATTTAATGCATTAAGTGAACCCACCTAGTTGTTTTTGATGGCATCCGTAAGGTACCGTAAAAGCAGAATTTTTAGCGAGGATTTAATTTTGGCATTATTAGCGAGATTGCAATGATCGCTAAAATTCAATATCGTTAAAAATTAATTGCACTTTATTTGTAAAAGTTTCTTTAGTAAGCTTTTTAAAATCGCTAAAACTACATCTCGCTAAAAATAAAATACCAATTTTTAAGGATAAATCGCTAAATTTGCGTCTCGCTAAAATTTCCACTTATACGATATAATTCTAGATTATTGTGGTAATTTTCAATTGCATGTTTTTTCATATTCTCACTTGCTTAAAATTTGCCCAGTCAGATTCTTTTTTGCTTTTTTGAGCTTTTTGCTTAAGTCTATTTTTTTTCGAAGAGTTTTGAGCAATGCAGAATCAAACCATGTTTTATCTTTTGGCCGTTTAGTAACATATTGTTCAGGTATACTTTCTAACTATATTCAGTGTTGAATGTCAAACAGAAAATTGTTCATCACTTTAATTAACACATAATAATTAACACTTTAATTAACACATAATATATACCGTGAAAATCTTCCTTCCTTACTTTTTAACAACCAAAAATCAACATATAAATTAGTCATTGTTTCTTCATTGATAGGTTATTCAAAGACGCATGGATGGCTCCACGGATTTCCAAGGGAAAAAGTGGGCAGATTTTTTTTCGAAGAGTTTTGAGCAATGCAGAATCAAATCATGTTTTATCTTTTGGCCGTTTAGTAACATATTGTTCAGGTATACTTTCTAACTATATTCAGTGTTGAATGTCAAACAGAAAATTGTTCATCACTTTAATTAACACATAATAATTAACACTTTAATTAACACATAATATATACCGTGAAAATCTTCCTTCCTTACTTTTTAACAACCAAAAATCAACATATAAATTAGTCATTGTTTCTTCATTGATAGGTTATTCAAAGACGCATGGATGGCTCCACGGATTTCCAAGGGAAAAAGTGGGCAGATTTTTTTTCGAAGAGTTTTGAGCAATGCAGAATCAAACCATGTTTTATCTTTTGGCCGTTTAGTAACATATTGTTCAGGTATACTTTCTAACTATATTCAGTGTTGAATGTCAAACAGAAAATTGTTCATCACTTTAATTAACACATAATAATTAACACTTTAATTACACATAATATATACCGTGAAAATCTTCCTTCCTTACTTTTTAACAACCAAAAATCAACATATAAATTAGTCATTGTTTCTTCATTGATAGGTTATTCAAAGACGCATGGATGGCTCCACGGATTTCCAAGGGAAAAAGTGGGCAGATTATGCGAAAGGGTTCGGAAATCCGGCAGTGTTGAATGTCAAACAGAAAATTGTTCATCACTTTAATTAACACATAATAATTAACACTTTAATTAACACATAATATATACCGTGAAAATCTTCCTTCCTTACTTTTTAACAACCAAAAATCAACATATAAATTAGTCATTGTTTCTTCATTGATAGGTTATTCAAAGACGCATGGATGGCTCCACGGATTTCCAAGGGAAAAAGTGGGCAGATAATGCGAAAGGGTTCGGAAATCCGGCATCAGAATATTGGCTGGGTATTCTATGATTATTGAAAATTTCTCTTTCTACCAAAAACAAGCTACATGTCCCTCGTCTGTAAGTTAAACACAGATTTTGAAATCAAAGGTTGAAACACATGATTTAAACTTAAAATAAATTATTAAAATGAAATGTTTAGTTTATTTGAAATTTGTTAAGAAAAAATAACTATTCTCTAAAAAGAAGAAACTTCTTTAATTTTAGGAAATGATGCAATCCATGCTCTTACTAAAACTGGGAACCAGAAGTTACGGATAGATGTGGCCAGATTTTCAGGAGTTAGTGGAAACGCTACATATTCAACCTTCATTGTCAACAATGCAGCAAACAAATATAAACTCACCGTTGGAGGATATAAGGGGTCTTCTGGATTCAGTAATGTTAAAACCTCTAATGTGATTAAAAATAATGTATAGAGAAAAGTATCAAAAACAATAAACTAGTCTCTCTATATGTGAACGGTAGAATGCTCAATTTTCTTTTAGGTCACCTGAGTCAACCAGGTGAACTATTGCTATCTGTTTTCGTTCGTCGTCGTCCTTGGTGTGTTAACATTTGAACATTTTCAGATCTTCTCTGCAACCACTCAACCAATTTTTACATAAACATCTGCGGATGAAGGGGAACAAAACTTATGAATTTCATGGTCTCGCCCCCCCCCCCCCCCGGGGGGGGGCCTGAGGGATGGGACTAAAACCACTAAAAACTAATGCAATCTTTAAAGATCGTCTTCTTTACTCCTGGACATTAAGCAGTCAAACCGTTGGCATGATTGTAATAAACATTGATCCTCTACCAAAATTCTGAAATTCATGGCCCCAAGTCAAGGGTTCTAGTGCTAGGGCGTTAAAATGCATTGATTACAAAAGTACATATATATTATGATAACGAAGGGTGCCTCTTCTAAAATTGTGAATTTCTTGGCCCCGAGGTTAGGGGTTCTGGTGTAAAAGCAGGGCACTATTAATTATAGAGTGAAAATGCATTGATTCTTTGAAAATCTCCTCTGTTGCTATGTATTAAACAAACAAACTACATACATATTTATTATGAGGAAGGGTGCCTCTTCTTAAATTGTGAATTTCATGGTCCCAGGGTCATGGGTTCTGGTCTTGATCTATATAAAGTATATGTTGAAAATGCATTAATTCTTTGAAAATCTTCTTCCCTGCTCCTGGGAATTAAGCAGATGGACTACCTATATAGCTATGATGAGCAACAGTCCTTCCATATTTGTGAATTGCAAGGCCCCTGGGTCAGGTGTACCATAGAGGGGGTCTAATTATACATGTATTGTGAAAATGAATTTATGCTTTTAAAATCTGCTACTTGGTATTAGTCAAACAATTATGTGTTGAGCAAGAGTACCTTTTGCAAAATTGTGAACTTTGTGGACCCTGGATCAGGGTTTCTAGTGGGGTGGGTTACTACTGACTGTTGCTGAATAGTACTGATTAGTTCAAATGCATTCCTTTATTCCCCTACTCTTCCTTTGGGTATTAAGTAATTGAACTAAGCATGCTAAGTGTATAGTTATGATGAACACTGGTGCCTCTTTCAAAATTGTGAATTTCATGGCCTCTGGTTTCAAACATGAACCAACTTCAATCATTGGAAAGTTGTTACATGATTCTCAGGTGACCTCTAAGGTCCATGGGCCTTTTGTTAAAATTAAGATTGGTTTTTACTTTTAGAAGATAACCTGTCCTACCATAATGGCATGTATTTCTCCACCACTGATACTGATAATGATAAGTATGGGGATCCCTGTGCTGAGA